GCTTCAAAGACTGGAATTAAAATAGCTGGCTTGGTAACTTATAAACAGATGAAATTTTACATGATACTGCTGATTCATTACTGAAATTACACAAACCTGGTTTCAGACCTGGCCCAGCACTACCTGATGAGAGCCAACATCACCGCCATCCGCAGGGTGCGGAAGACTGACAACAACCGGATTGCCAGGTAGGTGCTGGCTCCTGTCTGGAGCCCATTCCCACTGTGCATGACAGGGAATTGTTCTGATCCCACTCTTTCTCAGTTCTGATTTGTGAGCGTCTGATGCCATGCTTTGGTGCGCTAGGGCCTGTGGAGCTCGCATCGTCAGTCGCACCGATGAGCTCCGGGAGGAGGATGTGGGAACCGGCGCCAGGCTCTTTGAAGTGAAAAAAATAGGAGATGAGTATTTTGCTTTCATCACTGATTGCAAAGATCCTAAGGCTTGCACCATCATCCTCAGGGGAGCCAGCAAGGAAATCCTAGCGGTAAGTTAGTGCACAGGCTGCTTCACCTCCTGTGCCAGCCACCTTTGTGGTGAGTCATGGCCAGCAGATGGGGGCTGGGCTTTCAGCTGATGTGGTGCTGCAGTTAATGAGAAGGGCAGTGGAGCTGAGGAGGGGTCTGGAGCACAAGGAGTAGCTGGGGGGGCTCAGTGAGGACCTTATTGCCCCTATTTAGTACTACCTGACAGAAGGGTCTAGTCCACTGGGGGTCAGGCTCTTCACCCTAGAAACAAGTGACAGGGCAAAAGGAAGTGGCCTCAAGTTGCACCAGGGGAAGTTTAGATTGGATATTAGGGGAAATTTCTTCATGGAAAGTCTGGTCAGGCACTGGCACAGGGTACCCAGGGCAGTAGTGGAGTCACCATCCTTGGATGGATTTAGCTCATGTATGGATTTGGGACTCGGGTTAGTGGCAGCCTTGGCAGTGCTGGGGGAACGTTTGGACTTGATTGTGTTAAGAGAACTTTCCAGCCTCGACGGTTTTGCGATTCTGTCCCTGTTGCAGGAGGTGGAGCGCAACCTGCAGGACGCCATGCAGGTGTGCCGCAACGTCCTCATGGATCCGCAGCTGGTGCCCGGCGGGGGAGCCACTGAAATGGCCGTTTCCCATGCACTGACAGAGAGGTCCAAGGGCATGACAGGCGTGGAGCAGTGGCCCTACCGTGCAGTGGCCCAGGCTCTGGAAGTCATTCCCCGGACGCTGATCCAGAACTGTGGCGCTAGTACAATCCGTGTTCTGACTTCGCTCAGGGTAAGGCGTGTGGCAGGGGCACCAGGAGAGAGTCAGCCCTTTCCTGCTTCACCCAGCTCCTGGGATCAGGCACTGTTCAGAACAGTGCCCTTGTTGTGCTGTCAGTAACATGTTCTTGTATAGACTCCAAAACCAAGAACATTCTAATGACCTGTTAAAGTTTCCTCAGCCTGTAGTCAGTTTGAGACTCCAGAAGAGAAATTGCCATCTCACCCACCCTGTCTTTTTGCTTCCAGGCCAAGCACACTCAGGAAGGCAGCCAGACATGGGGTGTGAATGGGGAGACTGGAGCCCTGGTTGACATGAAGGAGCTGGGGATCTGGGAGCCCTTGGCTGTCAAACTTCAGACCTACAAAACAGCCGTGGAGGTAAGGAGAGGTGGAAACTTCAGAGCCTCTATGGGTATCATCTGGGAGAGGAGGACATCCTTCCCTGTATGCTGTGGTGTTTGGGTGGGCATCACACCCAGTGCAGGGCATGCTGGTGTCTGAGCTCGTTGCTGGAGGTGGGATAATAAGGGAGGTGGGAGCCCAGACTTGGGCTTTCCCAGGGCTTTTGATCCTGCAGCTGAATTTCATCATATTTCATCCCACCTTTTCTTGCACACAGTGCAGAATGCTCTCACTGCTTCCAGTGCCAGATGGAGCTGTACCTGAGCAATCCCATGCCAGCAACACACTGGAATCATCAGTGATTGTGGGAGCTTTATCCCTCTGGCTGGCTGGGGCTGCTCTGTCTCAGCTGCCCTTCTCATTACAGATCCTGCCATTACCTTGCTGGTGTTGGATCAAAGGCTGTTCCTCGAAGGGATACTGTGTCCCTTCTATGTCAGTCAACAAGAAAAAATGGGTGTCCTTGTTTGCATGGTGCTGGGAAAGCAGCCCCTTGCTGCTCCCACAAGCCTGTGAGACACCGTTCCCTTGTGTGCTGAAAGAACCATTTCAACCCAGGCTGATGATTGTGTGCTGTGAAAGCTGGGCAGGTTGGGTTTTGTCTTTTGTGATGAGCTCCAGATGAGCCCTGGGTGTGGGGTTTCTCTGCAGACTGCAGTCCTCCTCCTCCGTATTGATGACATCGTTTCGGGGCACAAAAAGAAGGGTGACAACCAAAGCAAGCAGTCCGCAGCACCGGAGGCAGCCCAGGAGTGAGAGGTTGAGACTTCGCAGGGGAGAACCGACTGCCTTGACCTTGACATGGGAGGAGCTCAGTGCAGTGGCCTGGTCTCAAGGCTGAGCCTGGAAAAGTTTGTTTAAAGTCTGGGAGGGATGGAAAATACCCTGGACACTGGGTAAAGGCAGTGGCTGTTGGTAACACTGCACTGCTTCTGGGGTGAGGGTTACTGACTGAAAATTCTCTTCACCTCAAAATAAATACATTGTTTCAGGCTGTTTCTGTGTTTAATCCTTGCTCTGGCACGGGCTGGGCAGGCAGGTCATGCCAAGTCCAGGAGGTTCAGCGAGGCCAAGGGCAGGTGCTGCACCTGCATTGGGGCAGCCCGAAACACAAACAGGCTGGGGGAGAATGCATGGAGAGCAGCCCTGGGAAGGATGTGGGGCATGGATTGACAAGGAGCTCAGGATGCCATGGCAACGTGCACTGGGGCCAGAAGGCCAACACTGCCCTGGGCTCATCCCCAGCAGCGTGGGCAGCATGTGAAGGGCGATTCTGCCCCTCTGGTTTGTTCTGGAACACCCCCTTGTCAGAGCTTCCTCCAACTCCGGGATAGGGCCAGAGAATGAGATACTGGGAAGAAATTTCTCCCTGTGAAGATGGTGAGGCACTGACAGGTGGCCCAGAGAAGCTGGGGCTGCCCCATTCCTGGCAGTGTTCAAGGCCTGTGTGGGAGAAGACTTAGAGCAACCTGGTCTAGAGGAAGAGGGTTGGACCTAGATAGCCTTTAAGGTCCCTGCCAAACAAAAGCAGTCAATAACAGAGTTACCCTGTTATTCCATTATCACTTTACTCTGATTCTGCAAGAGCCCATGGAAGCAGAAATCCCGGTGTGAGCCTGGCTGAAGGGATTTACAGCTCACCGCACTCTGCAGCCAACCTGGCTTTGAGAGCACAGGTGGTGCAAGCAGCGTGCCATGGGATGATTTTATGATGATGCTTTATTCCCTTATCTCGGCTTTGTGCCCAGAAAACGAATGCTGTAGCTTTAAGATGGAGCCAGGGTGGGATGGGGAGCCTTGAGCTGCTGGGCGGGCTCTGTTCAAGCTCCTCTCTGGGTGCTCCGGGTGGACCGGGACCCTACACTGTTCCTTTTGTTGGATTGGGTTGGCGTTTTTTGCTGCTAGAGTGAAGCAAAAGGGTTTTCCCCCTTCCCTTCTCCTAGCCTGGAGGCTGTACCGGGAATCCTCGGCGATTTGTTTTTATTTCTTTGAACTGTTTCGGCTTGCTTTCTCTCTTTTCTCTGTTTTTTGTCTTTTTTCTTTTTCGGCCGCTCGGGGGAGCCGGCGGGACCGCGCCGAACCCGAGGCCTCGGAGGAGCTGAACCGACACAAGGAAATTAAAACACACCAACTTCAGCTGCTGCAAGAAGACCCACGCCAGAAATCCAACAGGTTCCAGCTCCTGTGAACACTTTTCTGCTCCCGTCCTCGTGGACAAAGAAGGGCAAGTCACGACCTCTGCCACTCGGCCACACGGTGAGGTGGAGTGTAAGTTTCAAAATTTTTTTCCCCCTTTTTTGTTTTGTTTTTTTGTTTGTTTGTTTGTGTTTGTTTGTTGTTGTTGTAGTTTCTGTTTTTTCTGTTAATACGGGGTTTTTTCACTTGCATCCTCTGGTATCCATTTCTCTCATTGGCAGAAGAAAGAGGACTTATTGAAGCTCTCTCTCTTTTGACAAAACCAATAATTTTAGAGCATATTTCTCCTAGAATTTCCTCTAAACCAAGACACAAATTTTGGGCCAGTGGATCCATGCCAAGCCCAGAAGCTCGAGTGAGGCCAAGGGCAGGTGCTGCACCTGCATTGCACACTGCCATGGTGTTCCTTTTATATTATTACAAAATCCTCAATACCTCGACAAACCTCAATCATGTGCAGAACAACGAATAAGAACAGCAAGAACTGTCCTCTTCTCAACAAAACACATCATGGCCACCCAGGGAACACCATCAACAGGGACCTCCCTTAGTGCCCCTTTTGGGCAAAGCAGCAGCTGTGACATCCTCTGTCAGATCAGGTCTGCGGTGTCACCAGAACAATCTCTGTCCCACAGGGCAGGCAGCACCTGGAGGTGACCCTGAGATATGATACTGTTATATATATTATAATATTGGCTTTTTGCAAATATTAAAATGGATTCTGTATGTGTAATGTTAAAGTAACTTTGTTGTATAGTTTTTTTCTGTTGTTAATTAAGCTTAGACATAGTAGTGAAATAGCTATGCTTGTGTTAAAATTCCTCCTTGGATGGGGACACCTGCTACAGATCTGCCAATTATGAGCACCCACCATCTGAAAACAGTGTGGACCAAGGTCCAAACTGGAAGTAAAAAAGAGAAGGAGCCAAAACCACAGCCAAGAAACACGCCTGCTCTAAAAAGGCAGACCCAAGGAGGGGCCATGTAAACTTGTTCCTGCAATACGTGAACTTATTATGGATATGCATAAGGGTCTATGAATATGCAACAGGCTGATGTAAGAGAAAATGTATTTTAAGGGGTATCCCTGAAGATAACAGTGTGGTATAGGCTGAATGCCAAGATGTACCTGGTCATAAGAACCTCTGCTCTATGGTCCTTGTCTGATACTGTCCTTTATTAAACTTCTTAAATTTTCACAGGAGAGTGACCGTGTTTTTCACAATACCCTGCAGAAAAGTGCAGCAGGCAAATGAGAGCTGGAGGCAGCCCAGGGGGCAGAGCCCCACAGACAGGCCCCCCTGGGCAGTAACAAGCTGCACTGCTCAGATTGCTGCGGCTGCAGAGGAGAGAGGGGTTCTGCCTCCAGAGGGGACAAGGCACTTTGGGACTTCTGGTTGTTCTTTTTTCTCTTTGCTTGTTTCTCCATTAGAACACAGAGGACACCTCACAACTGCTGCTGCAGCCACCGAATCCTTTGCCCAGAGGGCTGAAGCACGGCGCAGGCAGCACCTCGCAGGGGACGGTGCCACCCCGACCCAGCTGCTGCTCTTGGGGCTTCAGGGGTGTCCTTTCCCGAGCTCTGGGCTGCTGCTGGCACTGGACTCTGCTCAGTTCTTTTTGCTCTTGGGGGTGTCATACTTCCTCTTGCTTGAGTACCAGAGCAGCAGGGGGATCCCGATGGAGGGCAAGGTCATCACGCCAAATGCAGCCCAGTCCAGCTAGAGGGAGAAATCGTTAAGAGAAAAGTCAAAACAGTCCAGGCCAGGGGAGTCTTAGAGCAATGAGGTCAGAGGAGCACAGGGAGGGGAGACCTCACACTGTCTGCAGCTTCCTCACATGGGGAAGCAGAGGGGCAGGTGCTGACCTCTGCGCTCAGTGACCAGGGACAGGACCCGAGGGAGCACCTGCAGCTGTGTCAGGACAGCCAACATTAAGGTTGGATATTAAGAAAAGGCTCTTTCTCACAGAGGATGGTGATGCCCAGGCACTGTGAGAGGCTCCTCAGGTAAGTGGTCACAGCACCAAGCTCGACAAGAGCTCAGGGAGTTTGGATAGGGATGACAGGTGCATGCTTGGGACCCCTGGGGTTGTCCTCTGCAGGGTCAGGAGCTGGACTCCACAATCCTTGCGGGTCCCTTCCAGCCTAGGAGGTTCTAAGATTCTACTCTCACATTTTCTGCCTCAAATGCCACAGTGCAGCTTCTTCACACAGGGAGCTGCGATGGAAACTCAGCTGCTTCTGTGACAGTCCTCTGCAGAACTGACAGGTTCCCTGTGGAGCTCTCCAGGTGACTGCAGGGCAAGCCACACACACCACGTGCAAGCAGGAAGCCGCCACGCTGAGCTGCAGCTGCCGTGGTGCACTTTTCCACTGCCAGTTGAAAGGTACTCACAAAGTGAGGGGAGAACCTCCTGTCGAAGTCACGCTGAGCCAGGATTCCTCCCTGCCCGGGAGCACTGGTGAAGCCAACCTGGAAAAGGCAGGGAAAAGACAGGCTTTGCCACCTTTCCTGCTCGCTCCAGAACTGGGCAGGGTGACAGCAACACGGACAGGCATCACCTCGACCACGCAGCTCTGGCAGCACGGTCAGGTGTGTCAGCAGGGATCCCAGAAATCAGCCACTTACCACCACCTGGGCACCCTCCTGTGCCAGGTACGTGATGGTGGCAGAGGTGAAGTTGAAGTACCCAGCCTTGAGAGGCCGTAGAACCACGGTGTGGGACACATTGCTGGCTCTGGGAGCTGGACGTTAAGGAACACTGCTGTATTTCATCCCAGGAAGAAAAGTCAGGAGATGG